GCAGTTTATTAACTTCCTACCTTATGCTTTTGTGAGTTAACTGTAGAATGTAGATATGTTAGAGATAGTCTGTAAATTCATATAAAGGCTAGATGAATTTTCTCAGTTCTGTGGATTTCAGTCAGGTGTCATTCAATTTTTTTTCTTGCTAAGTTTACTTTTAAAATTTATTTCAAGGTAAATATCATACCTGTAGTCAGTATATTTGTGTCTTCTGGGGACTTACTACCCTAACATAGTATTGTTTTTGTTTGTTTGAGGTATATTTGACAATTAAAAATTGGATATATTTAAGGTGTACAATTTGATTTGATATACATTGTGAAATAAGCAACATAATCTATTAATATGAATAATTACTAATTCATATCTTGAGATGGGAATAAAGGTACCATGCTATACCTGGTTTATAGTGTCTGGTCATGTGACTCTTGGGACCATTATATTACCATTATAAAATGATAATTTTTAATGTATTATTTAGGACAGTTCTTTACAAGCTTAATCCATATTATCTGATGCCATTTCTACTCAGACTAACGTACTGTTTCCTCATATGCATGATCTGTATCACAATATGAAGCTGTGAGTTCCTTCCTGGTATGTTACTTTACATCTCCTTGGTGCATTTCAAATTAGGATTGATTACTACTTTTCACTACAAAGATTATAAAATGAAGGCATTTGAAAGAGAAGTAAAATTTAATGTTTTTTCATTAGCGTCTTACTCACATACGAAGTTTTAACGAATACATATGAGAATGAATCTTCTTAGACTTTGTTCCAGAGAGGGCCATATTTGTGTGTTTCTGTATGGAGAGGAGAGAGGTTTCATGAAAAAGCTAAATATTCTCCAAACTAATTTGCCATTTTTTTCTTCTAGAAACCTGTGGATTTTTGTATCTAAGTTTACTGAGTTTGATGCAAGAAAATTACATAAATTATATAAGCATGCTATTAAAAAACGGCAGGAATCTCAGGTAAATTAGTGCATCATATTTTTTCCCCTTAATCATGAGACAGTCTTTCTTACAAAAGAATTCCATTAATAAAGGAAGGAATGAGGGAAATGGAAATCCACCGTTAGACTACTATAGTAATAACTGTTGCAGGAAAGATCCACAGAAAGAAACTAAAATTAGTGGGCAAGAAAACAGGATATTGGTACAGTCTAAAAAATCTCCAAGATGTTTAACATCTTTGTTAAGATATTTATTAACAAAGGGTAAACAATAGCTTTATAGAGGAGAAACTTGCCTGACACCACCTTAAGTAATTGATAAGGTTAATGTCACTAGTAGTAAGATATATCAACATCATGAACCCTCTGATACAGTGTACTGAGAAAGACACATCACTTCTGTGGAATTGTTGCTAAAAATGCATTACCTCAATCTAATATGAGAAAAATACTAAATAAACCCTAATTGAGGGATATTCTATAAAATAACTGGTAATCTTCAAAGGCACTAAGATTACAAAATATAAGACTAAGGGGCTGTCACAGAAAAAGACATGACAACAAAGTGTAATGTGGGGTTCCAAATTGGATCCTGGAGCAGAAAAAGAACATCAGTGGAAAAATGTGAAATCGGGATATATATGTACATTCTTATTGGAAGACTATTCAGATCAGGATTTTCCTTTTAAGGATTCCTCTAACCCCTTGTTTTGTAAGAGTATTTGAAGTCATGTTAAAAGATTCTTACATGTGTGCATTCATTCTAGCAAAACAGTGATCAGAACAGCAACTTGAATGCTCATGTGATTAGAAATGCAGGTAAGTAAATCTTACTAATTGTTTTGGAAAGTAAATTCAAAAATGATTTTCCATTTTTTGGTTTTGTTGTAGATAATCCAAATTATAAAAAGGATTTTTGAGTTAAATACCTTTATGTTGAGAAAATACTGTAATTCTAAAGCATACTTGCATTATTTTATAAAATCTATTCTCTCAAGCAGTAATCCATTTTAGCTTATTGTTATTCCTTTCCATTAATCAACCTTTGGCCAGTTTCTAGAAATTATAGAATAATTGTTAGAATGAACGTATATTCTTATGTCATTTGGAATATCATTCTTTCTATAAGAGTGACAAAAGTATAGTCTTCTGAGAAGGGATTGGGCTCCATATTTTTCAGTTCTGATTTTTCACATTTCAGAATCAAATGACCCTTTTTAAACCTTAGCACTGATTTTATAGACCACCTGCCTGTATTTGGGAGCTGATTTTGTTTTAGCAGTTGAAACATGAGTTTTTGTTATCTAGCAGCAAAGTTAGTTTTGCCACATAGTTTTTTGAAAGTCATTAACAAAAGTTGGACTTCTTTTTAATTTAACAGATGTGGAAAGATTAAAAGAGAATACAAATCATGATGATAGCAGCAGGGATAGTTATTCCTCTGATAGACACTTATCTCAGTACCATGATCATCATAAAGACCGACATCAGGGAGATTCTTATAAAAAGAGTGATTCCAGGAAACGACCCTATTCTTCTTTTAGTAATGGTAAAGATCATCGTGATTGGGATCACCACAAGCAAGACAGCAGGTAAACTTGATAGTCACTTTAAAAATTTTGTTTGTACATCTTTCTCCTCTTGATTATGTTTGCTCTATTAGACCTGTCAGCCAATTCAATCTTCACTCAAAACAAGGCTTGTGAAATGAATGTGTTGGTGTATAATCAAGAAAATTTGATATTAATATATAGTACTCTTTGTTAATGTTAAGAACAAAATTTATCTATAAAATAAATGGTTTTTGAATTATAAAATTAAGATCAAAATATGCAATAAGAAATTTGGTGGAAGGAATTCTATAATTATAAGTTGTAGAATTGATTTTTGTTGATTTTAGAGACTGTTCAATTCAAATACTCTTCAAAATATTATAAAGAAGTAAAATAAAAGCTTTATAGAATAATTGTTCAAATTTGGTTGGTGAAATTTTGCATTCCATATTTTAAAGAATGAGGGGGAAAAGTAATTTATATGAGCACACCTCACTGAGGTTAAATGTAATCTCAGCAGTCTGGGGTAGTCTTGAAACCAGAAAGTTTTCTTGTTTATTGTTGTTTTTTGAAGCCTTTAAACAGTAGGCAGCCTAAATGTAGTAACAACAGCAGAATACTTTTTATTCCTTTATTGATAAAGGAGTATTTTTTATAATTTCACAGACTTAAGAGTATAATTTATGTTGTTTGTAGTAAGGACCTTTAGTTAACAAAAAACACATTATGTTCAGTTGTATTGTATTGGAAAAGGCAAACATTTTAGAGCTCACTTCTCATTAAATTGCCACATTTATTTATTTTTTAACAAACTGCCACATTTATGTGTGGAGTAAACGTCTTAATAATTATTTATGTGTCAAGCCTTATTATATATAACTAGTCCAACTTGAGGAAGCTTTTAATAGACATTGCCCACCAATGAAAATTTTCCTTTACAGATTATTTCATAGTCTGTGTTCTAGCATTTTTTATTTTTTTCCTCTTCAGAAGTTTGTAAAAGGCTCTAATTACAAGGGTATTTTGGGTAGCTGTAATTATCTTAATTTCAACTTCCAGACAATTAAGATGCATTAATACAAATGATGCATAAAATAAAAAACTAATTCTCTAAAATAGGCATTTGAAATTAGGTGTTATCTGAGATGCACTGTGTATGGTTCACTTTAGTTTATGAATCGAATAGTTTTTCCAAAGAAATATTCCCAGTGATTTTTAAGTTAATTTAGGAAGTTTTGTAATGAAACACTGGAGTTGTATACAATTAAAAGTATGTTTTAAAGTACTTTTTTTGTTTTACTTTTTAATAAGATTTTATTTAGTAATATTTTAGTTTGCATTATTAATTTAACTAAAATTCCCAATTTCTCTTATATTAGATATTACAGTGACAGAGAAAAACACAGAAAACTGGATGATCACAGGAGTAGAGACCACAGGTCAAATTTGGAAGGAAGTTTAAAAGATAGATCTCATTCTGATCATCGTTCTCATTCAGATCATCGGTTGCATTCAGACCACCGGTCAAGCTCTGAATATACACACCATAAATCTTCCAGGGATTATAGGTATCACTCAGATTGGCAAATGGACCACAGAGCTTCCAGTAGTGGCCCTAGGTCACCACTAGATCAGAGGTCTCCTTATGGCTCCAGATCTCCATTTGAACATTCAGTTGAACACAAAAGTACACCTGAGCATACCTGGAGTAGTCGGAAAACATAACAAAAACTGATACTTTGTCTTTCTGGACTTTTCTTTTAGCCATATATCATAAACCAACACAGTAATTGCCTTACATGACTTGAAAGATATAAACAGATCTTCTATCAGTAGCAGTATTGTTACTTCTTTCCAGGATGCAAGGTCTATTATCCCAACAGAAGAGAAAATATTTTTATATTTAAGGATTATGCTGCACTGTGCTACAAATATTGTAGTACTTTTTTTTTTTCTTTTTTAAAGAAATGGAAAATGTTTACTATTACAGGGACCTCAACACTGCCCTCCCATATAGGCTGGATAAAACTGTTTTTTAAGTCAGTAATTTTAGACTGACCTCCATTTAAATTATGTTTATATATGAACTTTACTCTGACCTGTGATCATGTTTCAGGAAGGAATGAAAGAGAGTTCTTTCTTAATAAAGAAAAACACTCAAGGACTTTGTTCACTTTCCAAAGCTACTTGTTTACATTGTACACTGCGACCACCTTGCCGCTTTTCATCACAAGCTTGAATATTTAAATTCTGTACTTATATCTGTAAAATAGCCAGGAATTTCCTGTTTGTGATCTATTATTATGCCTTTTTACAAAAGAAAAAAATGGCTGTAAATTATTGTAAATGGATTAAATGAACTTTCCTTACTTCCTTCCCCTTCTCAGGCTTTTTTTGACTGTTCCTTTCCCTACCAACTCAGGCATTCTTATTAAAAAAAAAAATCAGTGTAATAACACTTTTTAATGATTTGTCTTGATGGAATCATTGTTTAGAATGTAAAAATGGGGAAAGGGGCCACTTAATTCCATTAGTCCTCTTTTTATATCGACTATTTTATTAGATACATGTTATTTCTTCCCCTTTTTTTCTTTTTTTAGTCAATATTGTGTTTGTAGTTTTTTTAAATGATGAGATAATATGTAAAATCTAAACTGCATGCTCTGGAAACATTTTTCAGATGCATTTGGTTTAAAAGGGTAGGTGTATGAACACTTTCAGAATCCAAAACAGCCAAAAGTTATTGTAAATCCATTTGTTTTCCCTTTTCATATGGGCAATAATGTCAAATGTGCTATGCAGCCAGGTTAACATTTTAGATAAACTTGATTGACTTTTAATATAAACTGTTACAATGCACACTGATTGTATATAAAAACCTTATATATGACAAATTAAATTTAAGAAAAAGGACGTGGGCTCCTGTAATTTTCTGCTGCATTCTTATTCCCTCAAGCACTTAACTTTTTTTTTTTTTTTTTAAGTAACATATGGCTCCCAGAAAAAGGATATTTTGGTAAGCAGTTGAATATTGGTAATTTGTAGCACTGCAACTAAATCTATTTTGAAGACTATATGAATCTTTCTATAAAATAAAATTTAGGTCATAGAAATTTTTGTCAGACTCTTGCCTTCCTGTAGATATTCTTTTAGGATGCCTTATATTTATTCACAGATTTTTATTTTGTTATATGCGGTGGGAATTTTTAAATCATGTGGCATACATACTTGGAAGTATGCTGTGATATAACAAATTTGAATCTTAACTTTGACAAATATATGGATGTATTGCTATAATATTCCTATACATGTCCCTGTTGATTAGCATTGGGAGCAATCTATAGAAATTTGTAGATGTATTTTTTTTAATATTTTCCTTTTATCCAGTTAGGTCTAAAATATATACTATGTGTACAAAATAAAGCTTTTCTTTTTTTTTTTCTTTAAAGCAGTAATTTCTCCTTTAGATACAGTTACCCTGAAGAATCCTGGTGTATGAGATAAAATCATAATATTAACACAGTAAATGGATCAGAACTGACATTTTTAAATTCATCACTTTGTAGCTGGGACATTTGCATTATATCTTATTGTGTAAATTTCATAGAACGATATTACATTTTTGACACATGGGAATGGGCTCTAACATTTTTAACAGTGCTACATTTAGTTGAACATTTCAGTCAACTAGCTGAGTTGAATGAAAAATCTAAAACTGTGTAACATTTATTAATTGACAGAAAGTATGTTCATTATTTGTAAGAAGTCAGCAATTATGTAGAAAAGGAATAAGCCACAAAATTTTTAAGACACAATGGAGAAGGACATCAGTACATAGATACAACAGGGAACATTCTCTATAAAATATGCTTATTTTTTGTCTTTTACATACTCATTCTACTTTGCTACTTTTATCCAGTTATGTTTAATTTTTCAAGGATGAGAGATTATGCATAGTACTGTACCAATTAACCCTCCACTTTAATAATATCCAATAAATGATTCTTAACTAAAAGCAATGGCCTGTTTGCTTATAAAGGAAATAGTCTTTGTTTAGGGTATGTTATCAATTAGTTTTCAGACTGGAAAACTGGAATATTTTTTCGTTCATTAATTTCAGAATGAGTGGCTTAATAAAGTGAGAACCTTTACAATTTTATGTAATGTAGATTACATATACGATAATTTCTTTTTGTAATCTTTGTAGTTATATAATGAAAGGGTTGAGTAGGTTATGTGCTGATTTAAGACAGATTATCGTTCATTTTCATGAGTTATCAAGACTATGCACTAAGGGTAAATGATATGATTTTTATCTCTGTATCACGTTACTATGTTTCTGACTAGAAAATGATTTTTAGACCATAAATAACTCATAACTTTATAAATACAACAGCTTTAAAAAGGAATGGGGGTTTGGAAAAGCAACTAATCTTTACATAAGGGATTTTGTTTTTAAGACTTTTCCAGCTTCATCTGAAACATAACTGGTAAGTGTGGGTTGTTAACATTTTGAGTAGTTCGTTACTTAGCAAATAATGCAAAAATATTTTTAAATAGTTCTGAATTGATATATAAAAGCATTAATATAAATGCCTCTATCAGACATTTAAATTCAAGACTCAAAAAAATACAAATAAAACTATTACATATATTGTAGCACCGTATACAAGATTTATGATGGGTGGAGGGTGTTACAGGGTAGGTAACTAGTCAGTAGTGCAACAACAAAAATATCTGAGACAATGTCAAAATCTCTGTTAATATTCCTAAACATGCAATTATAATTTGGAAGAAAACATTCAATTGAAATTATATTTTTTACTAGCAATGACTAGTAATTGGATTTGTAGAACACTTTATGTTCATTTTTAATTTAAAAAAAATTTAGGATCTAACAGGTTGATTTCATTACAGGAAATTTTTGAATTCTTAGTAAAGAACGATCCAAGGATAGGAAATCTTAGCTCTGTAAAAGAATGAAAGGTGAGGTGGGGTAAAGTGGCTCATGCCTGTAATCCTAGCACTCTAGGAGGCTGAGGCGGGTGGATC